TTCTGGTCTGCGTGGGCGCGAGATAAATTGTTTATGCGCTTTTAATTTGTTTGCGTGTGTATTAAAATATTTAAAATGAAAGCAATTAGACTCGACCCAGGCGAAGGCCTACTTAAACGCAGTTTGCCAAAGCGATTTGACAAGATTTTCGCGCTCAAAATTGCGCTGAAATCAACTCGCGGACACGTCGAGCCAAGCTGGTAAACTTTCCAAACTGGAACTGTAGAAAAATCGAACTATGTCAGTTTAGAGTCTTCTAAATAATGTTATAAAGAGAGGAGAGGAGGGTATTATAGAATATTCATTGAATATGTAACGCATAGATTAAGTGAAGTGTGAGAAATTACCTAAATTTCTGTCTGCTTTTATCAAGTCAGGTTATATAATTATAATATAATATATAATATAATATAATAATTGAATTCTTATGAGCATAAAAGTATTATATCACACAATTTCCATATCTGATTTATATCTGCAAGGGTATTTCATATTTTATGCTTTATACTTTATGCCAACATATGCGCACAGTTTCATAAATTTAATTTAATTATCCATGACATATTTCACAGAGACTACAACTAGGACAGTTAATGAATACACCTATAGTTAGAGTAGCCTGTTGTACATGCAATATAAATGTCAGTTTAGATAAAGCCAAGTCAGTATATCAAGTGTGCGTGACTAGGAGATACCCTATAAATATTCTAGCTTCGTTTAATACGTGTAAAGCAAACACGAAAATGCATTCTTTATAAAAATCGGAGCTTATTGTCCGATCTCTCTTAAATTAATCAGGCCTCATATACGGCGCCCATTTGTACTCATGTTTCTACCTAAAAAATGACTATTTTTCAATTATGAGGGGAATGGAAGAAGCTATTTAGAAAGTGTACAAACCTACAAAAGCAGTTTGGCTCATTTTCGAGTTATGCCTTAAAAATAAACTCTTATAATCTATATGGAAAAGAAAATGCGATGCGAGCTGCTACGTTCTGTCTGATACATAAATTTCCAGCCACTTTCAATGGGTTCAGGGTACAAAAAGAAAGAAAAGCATGAGGCAACAGCTAGCCATGAGCATGACTTAAAAGCCATGGCCAAGAGGCCAGAAGCCAAAGTACTTGGCTGCCAGTAAATACGTTATCCTATCGCCTTTGAGTTTATCAAGAAGCCAGCAGATATTTATGCCCCTGTGTTGTGTATGGTTAACCGAACTCGTTCTCCCGGCGCGGAACGGAGACAATCTACGGTTGAATTACTTTATATTTCTCTTTAGATTGGAAGAGGAGCTGCGTGTTGTGGGGAATACAATATATATATTTCGCCTGCTTGCCCTGCCCTCGTATCAATTTATTGCAATTATGTGTAAATTGAGGAACAAAGCCAATCCAGACGTTGGCATTCATTCAATGAGATCTCAAGCAGCAAGTGCCAAAAGGCACCCAACCGCCAGGCACTTGTCACCACACAGCGGGACAGGGCGAGAGGCATTTGAAAAGCTGAAAACCTAATAATCAAATAAAACGAGAAAGAAGGCACCCTGAAGTTTGAATACCCTTGCAGAGTCAACCTTTTCATAATGCTTTGCCCGTATCCAAGACGCACAGGGAAAATATATCTAAGATATCTTGAAGAACAAAAAAGTTTTCCATAAAGAACCTACTTTTCGACCGATAGCTCCTATCACAGCTATATGAAAAAGGGGTCCACTATAAATAAGATTTTGCATAAAATAAGGGAACATAGTGAAACTTATAAGTGCCGAGTTTGGTCAAGATATCTTGATAAACAAAAAACTTTTCCATACAACTTAACTTTTATTTCCTATTGGCAGCTGTATGATATAGTAGCCCGATATTGATAGGGTTTGGCAAATATATAAGGAGCATAGTTAAACTAATAAATGTAGAGTTTGGTCAAGATATCTTGAAAAACTAAAAACTTTTCCATACAACAACTTAATTTTCAACCAATTCTTCCTATGGCAGCTATATACTATAGTGGTCCGATCCAGCTGGCTCCGATAGCCTTAAAACTGAGAAACTAGTTCGCATAGAAACAGACAGAGGGACAGATATATCGACTCGGCTATTGATACTGACCACGAATATATGTATATACCTTATAGACTCAGAGATATATCCATATATTTCAACCACATGTATACCCTCTGCAAGGGTATAAAAAGAGGAACAAACTGAATTCGCAGAAATATGTACATGATTTACAGAGTTCTTTAGGACATTCGCCGTTGGCTTCATTTAAATTCATATAGTGCAGGATCGCGACAAGGATCCGGGTCCTGGCTAGCTTCAGTTCCAATTTAATTAAATGTTCTGATGCATGACAGGGCGGGCGCAGAGACAGCCCTTCACACAGACTTCAATTCGTTAAAAGACCTTTCCGCTGAGTGAATTCGCAAAAAAAGTATCTGAAAAGCAAGAAAGTATCTCAGTGTGTAAATATGCCAGCTATGTCTGGGCATATAAAATTTAACTAATGGCTGGCAAAACGCTTCGGACTATGCCCTAATGTGTGGAGTCGGGGGCTCGCTAAAAGCAATTCGTGTTGAAAGGATTTCAGCTGGCTAAGCTGACCAGCGAGTGATGCTCGTGGTTTTTTTATACCCTAAGTTGAATGAAAATCGGTGAAGGGGTATATTATTAAACGACAATAACAAAATAATTCCCAAATATGGACTAAGCCAGAGGCATGCCGCCTGCTTATGTTTACAGAAGGAAGCTGGCATTTTCTAACTGCTGTGCTAAGGGTATCTGCTAGTCGGCCACACCCAATCAGATGCTTACTTTTTCAGTATATTAGCAGGCAGCTGGTTTTGGCCTATTGGCCTCACCGCCGGATTGCGCAAATTAAGCCATAGTTCACGGCGCCTAACCACACTATTCCATTTGCCCATTGGGGTCCATTGGTTACGTGGTTTCATGGTGTTTGGTGGTGTTTGGTGGTTTTAGTGTTCCCGGAATCAAAGCCTGACCGCAGCTGGCGCAGCTCACGACCAGCCGGATGATCCTCATTTGCGACATTAAATATTTAGTGCCAGACGGGTTAGATTTACGAGATTTGGCCACATTATGCTCCGGGACATAACACTCACACACACACACACACAGAGAGAGAGAGAGAGACCCATAAATACAGGCACGTAGAAAATTGAGTTATGTTTCCGTTTTGTAATAAACGAAAAGAAATGCGCAGCGCAAATTTAATTACATATTTTGAGTTTTATTCCCGTTTTCACATTTGTTTTAAAATCAGTTTCCAGGCAAGGCCACAAATTGTTGTTCGAAAAGCAAATAAAAACTGATAGACGAGCAGGAAATTGTCGCTCAAATATGCGCAAGGGTAAGACGAATAGTTTGACTGTGCATTAAATATTGTTAAACTATTTAAAATCGGGAATTCTTTTTTTAAATGGCAAAATTCAAATTAGACTTAAACTCAACTAATATTTACTTATATATAAGTATTTTTATTTTATTTAACTTTTTTTTTATTTATTATTATTATTTATTTTTATTTCTCACTCAATCAAGGGAACGGTAGGGCTGACTGTGAAATAATATTGTTAAACTATTTTTCGATTTTCTTTTTCTTTTAAGAAAATCCAAGCTTAACTCAAACTCAGCTTTAATTTTTTATTATATTATAATTTATTTTATTATATTTATTTTCATTATTATTTTTTATTTATTATTTTATTTTTTTTACACTCTCTTTGTTTAATTATTTAAAACGGAAGTGCGATATTTTTTTTCTCTTTTAACAAAATCCAAATAAAACTTAAACTCAGCTAGAATTTACTCATAAAAATTGTGGCAGTATTATATATATATTTTTTTTAATATTTTGTGTTTATATTTTTATTATTTTATTGCTTTTCCACTCTCGATTTCTCACATAATTGCACTCAATTAATGGCAGCCCACAACACAACAGAAGACTCGATGAGGCGTGCTGAATATTTGATTTGAGCTTCAATTATTATTCAGTCGATTTGAATTTGAACATGCAATGCTTAAATCGAGTGGAATTACGAGACATCAAATTCAAATGGTGCTTAAGTTGGTTATCTTCTGGCTTCACTGAGCTACCTTTCCGAATTTCGCACACAAAAACTTAATTAAATTAGCGTCGATGGGATGAAATACTTCAATTATTACTGCGTCAAGTGCACGCAAAAAATTATGCTAAATTTAAAAAAACAAGTAAGAGGTTCTAGTCGGGAGCTCCCGACTAGGGGATACCCTGAACCCTCTTCTTCTTCACCTAATGCAAATATATGTATACTATTCTAAAAGCTATATGTCAAGTTTGTTGACTCTAGCTCTTATTATTTACCAAAATTGCCCAAAAAACAGGATATCGATATCGATTTTTATCGATTGCTTGGAAACGGAGCAAGTTATCGATTATCGAAAACAAACTCGATCTGCGCGGGCACTAGGAGCACCGACATCTAAAATAACATCTAGCTCTTATAGGCTCTGAGATCCTTGCGTTCATACATACGGACGGACGGACGGACGGACGGACGGACATGGCTAGATCGACTCGGCTATTGATGCTGATCAAGAATATATATACTTTATGGGGTCGGAGATGCTTCCTTCTGCCTGTTACATACATTTGGAATTTGCACAAATACAATATATCCTTATACCCATTTTTAATGGGTTCAGCGTATAAAAAGTTGCCAATCAAAAAGAAATCTTCTTATCTATTTCAAAGTTTTTAAGTCTTAAAAACAACAAGTTTGTTTTGATAAAAAGGACATAGGGAATACATTTATGAAATTAAAGATAATTTCTAATTTTGTCATTTTTTTTTTTTTTTTTGATAAAAAAAGAAATATTCTTGGCTTCGGTTGGGTTTGTTAGTCTTAAAAACAAGTTTATTTAATTTTGTTGGAAATTGAAATTTAAAACATTATCAAATTTTTGGCAATTTTTTAAAGTTTAGAAAACTGGACGAAATACTTCAATTAATTCTGCGTCAAGTACACTCAAAAAATGATTATAAATAAATTATAAAATGGACACAACATTAAAACATTAAAACATTTTTAATTTATTAACACTTTTTTAGGGTTTTGAAACTTGTTAAATTTGTTGTAAAACGAAAGACCTGAGCTGCTCGAACGCGAAATGCTTCTGAATTGACAGCGTTGAAATTTAGTTGTTTAGCTAAACATTTGCACAAGCTTGAAATATAATATTAGTTAGTCAATTGTTTACTTTATGGTGCATTATTAAGCACTTCCTGTTGCACACAGCAAATACTCGGAGAGCTTGCTGAATATTTGTCTCAAATAACAAGGGCTTTTAAGTGTAAGGCAAGCCTCGTCGGAGGTTTCACTGTACAGTTTTTATTTGATTTAAATACCGGAAAAAGTTAAACAAAAAAAAAATGCTATTTGTAAAACTTACCGAGAAATGACTTTTCTGATGCACCGCAGGAAACAAAAGTCGGCAATAAAAAGCGTTTTTTATTTATGATTTGTTTTTTTTGTAAATATTTCTGGAATTCATTTAATTGAATTTTCACAATTTTCTTTTCTACACACTAGTTTATTGCTTAATGCTTTGTGTTTATTCAGCGCAAATTTAATTTGGATTTCAATTGAATTACGTTTCGAAAAATGTTGCCGCCGGCATTTTCCACGCTCAACATTTTCCGCACAAAAGTTTTCTAGCGACGCGACGCGACGCGTTTCTTCCGTCTTTTCGAACTGTTCGCGCGCGACTTTGCCGTCGAACTGTGTTTGCTGCCCAAATGCTCCAACAGTGCCTCTGCTCAGTATGTGCGCACCCGGCCCCGCCCCTTCGCCTGTCTGAGGTTCTGATTGGAATGGAGCGACCTGCTGCTGCGCGTTTGCTGCTATTTGCTTCCGCTTGTTGCGCGCGATAAGAGAATATCGTATGAAATAAGTCAAATTTCTATTTATCTAATTTTATATTTTACCAAAAATTTCAATTTAACAACAATTAATACAAAACTGTAAACGTATATTGCCCGCGTTTGGCCAGTGTTGTCTTGCTGCGCGCATATAAAACAAGTACTATTCTCAAAACTGTAGTGTTCAAATGCAAACGATTGGCCAGTGTTGTCGTGCTGCGCGCACTTTTGTTTTGCTGCTGCTATTTGCTGGCGCTTGTTGCTGCTGCGTGCGTTAAGAGAAATTCGTATAAAAAAAGTAGCCAAACAATATTTTAAATAACTACGTCTAATTTCAATTTATGTAATTTTACATTTTGCCAACGAGTTTCATTCAACAAGAATTATTCCCAAACTGCAAATATTTCAAATTAAAACGTACTGGTCCGCAATTGGCCAGTGTTGTCGTGCTGCTTGCCGACTGCGTGCACTTTTGGTTTGCGTCTGCGCTTTACCACGACCGCCACGCTTTTTGTGCTCTCTCTGTTTTCATACGCACATTCGTAAACAGAGAGGCCGCAATTGCCTGCGGGCACGTGCAATTGGGCCCAAATTCAAATTGGCGGCCACACGCGGCGCTAGTTGTGTCTGACTGCGTGTGTGCGTGTGTGTGTGTGTGTGTGTGTGTGTGTGTGTGTGTGTGTGTGGAAGTGTGTGTCTGTGTTTGTTGCTTTTGCTGGTGGCAACAAATGTTTTGTCTCATTCGCATAACGCAGCTGCAGGTGCGCGTCTATAGTCAAAAATGCCTTAAATAAGCAACATTAAAGCATATGAGAAGCTGAAACTAAAACAAAAGTTTTCCAGTGACCAAATTGGGAATACCCTGTATTAAACAGCGACAGACTCAGCTCGTCGCTTCGATCAAGAATTTAAATTTGGAAATGTTTCCTGCTACCTATATACTCTGTATATCAAGTATACCCAGTATATTCTGCATACCCTGTATTAAACACCGACCCGCCGTAACACACGTTCGACTCAGCTCGTCGCTTCGATCATGAATATGGGGTCAGAAAAGTTTCCATCTGCCTGTATACCTTGTATTGAGCACCGACCCGCCGTAACGCACATTCGTGTCCTTCTGCCTGTATACCCTGTATTAAACAGCGATATGCCGGAACGCGGCGTTCGGCTCAACTTGTCGTTTGGTTCAAGAATATATTTTCGGAAGTGCTTTTTTCAGTCTGTATACCCTGTATACCCTGACCAAGAATTTGGACTCAGAAAAGGTTTCATCTGCCTGTATAAGTTTCCATCTGCCTGTATACCCTGTATTAAGCACCGACCCGCCGTAACGCACATTCGGTGCAGCTCATCGTTTCGATCAAGAATATGAATTCTAAAAAGTTTTCTTCTGCCTGTTACAAGCACTCGCACAGCTGCAACTCACCCATACGCATTGCGTACAGGATAGCTCAGAGTTTAATGCATTAATCTTCGAGTACTTCGTGTTGTCGGAGGAGAAAAACTCATTGCAGCTAACTTAGCCATTGCTTGGCTCTGATTTCGTTTACATTTTGCGGTCTGCAGGAGCCCAGATCTCATTGAGACGGGTAAATCAATCATCATCATCACGGCTCGATGGCCGTTTCCAGCACCTTGCCACGCCCAAGCACACGTGGCGTATACTTTATTAAAAGCCGTGTTAATGGGCCACGTTTAATACACATTAATTGCGCAGAGCTCGCTTCTGTTTCTGGGCACCCCACAAAAACTGTGGCCTTAATGTTAATCTGTTTGTCAACCTCAAATTGCAAATTTTACATTTTTTTTTGTGGCTAAATACCAACAGAATTTTTTTGATTGATGGCCATCTAACATCTCCATCTGCTCCTGCTCCCCCCCCCCCCCCCTCTCTCTCTCTCTCTCTCTCTCATATATATAAATAAAGAATTTAATTTTCAACAGGATATCCTGTTGCGCGTCCTGTCTGCGAAAAGTCAACTACTTTGCATTAAGTTGACCAAAATGCAGCTGTAATTTAATACAGGATGTGCACAATTAAATTAAGTGTATTACACCGATAGAAATAACCCGGCGTTGCCCGTGTAAAAGTAATGTTGTTAAATACGCAAGTTTTACAGAAATTTTGTTGTGAACTGAATGTTGGATTTGAACCAGCGTTTTTATACGGATGCCGAAAGAAATAACCCCAGCGTTAAATTTAGTGTATTATATGGACACCGACAGAAGTAACCCGGCGTTGCCCGTGTAAAATGAATATATGTCAAATATGCTACAGAAATTTCTTTTGGGTAACTTGCGACATTAACCCAAAAATGAATATTGGATTTGATCCAGCGGCTTGCCGTTTATCAGTCCGACGCTCAGACGCGCTTCTCTTAATATTTCTTTGCTTTTCCAATTAATGCCTCAGCTTAAGATTTAGCGCAAAACTGCTTTGGTTTGCCCAAGATTTGGTTATCCGGCAACAGGCCACACATAAATATTCGAGCCGCCATCTGTTAGTTATCAAGGTCGATTCATAAAACTTCCAGATATGCCTCTCAGGTGTTATTTGAAAACTCCGCAAGAGTCTGATTTACGGGCCAATAAACTGCAGGCATAAACATGGCCAAGGAAAACTTTATTAAAATATGCAACACGGTGTCAATAGTTGTTGTTGTTGTTGTTGTTGCTGTTGTTGTTGTTGTTGTTGTTGCTGTTGTTGCTGCAGCTTCATTAGAAAAGGTTCAATTTCCATAAAACACAAAGTTTTCGTTCTTTTAAAGGGGCGCATGCCAAAGGCTCGTAAAAAGTAAAAGCTGCCAAAAAAAAAAAAAAAATGGAGCCGCAAATCAACTACAAAAATTGGAGGCACAAAACTTTTGCGGAGCACGTGCAGGTGTGCGTGAGCAGGTGTTAGTGTAGGTGTGTGTGTGTGTATAAAAATTGAAGGTGTCACCTTATGCTGCTGTTAATTTCACAAAGCAAGCGCGTATGTTCGAATAAACCTTTGGGGGAAAAGCCAGAAGCTAGCTGGGAGTTGGCTGAGGGAAGGAAGGTGAGGAAAGGTCCTTTATCCCTGGCTGGCGCTCCTGTTAATTATGCGTCTACGTGACTTTTGTAAATGAGGCAAAAGTGCGCTTGTTGCGTTTCGGTTGCAGCTGAAGACTAAAGCTCAACCTTGAACTCTTAAAACGACACGAGAGAAATACACACACATACATGGACACACACACAGCACACACACAGCACACACACAGGGACACATTTAATGTGTATATATTAAGTGTAACATGCGCCATTTATCAGCCGGCCCGCCGTCTAAGCATATCCAATCAAGCGAAGACTCAGATGCCAGCCGGTGGGAATCAATGCGAATTACCGCATGCCACAACAACCTGCAACTGTGACCAAGTGTGCCCCCCCTCCTCCTCTCCCCCCTTTCTCCCTCTCTCTCTCTGGTGTGCCAGCTGCCGCAGTTGCCGCTTGTTATTTGCATGCACTCCAAATTGAAGTGCAAAGTTTCAAAACTCAAAACAAAATAAAACATGTTGTAAATGTTGTCGGTTGAGCCACAGCCGAAGTTTGAATACCCTTCACAGACAGGCTATAAATTACTCTATAATATATATATACCCTACTAATTTTGGCGTCTCTAGTTCGTTGAAACTTCGAGCTGTGCTTAAAATAAAGCAAAAATAAAATCAAGAATGTTAAAAATGGCAAGCATTTTCCGAAATGAAAGGGTCTAGATTCCATTATGTCTGAGACATAGCTATGAGTATGGGCTTAGCTTGACGGATAGGCTATAAATTTCCCCAACCGGGTCGGTTAATTCCCATCAACTATCTCTTTAGCCTATCTACTTAACATAAACTGATCAAGAATACATTTAATTTGTCGGATGCCTTCATCCATGAGCTACAAGTTTTGTAAGAAAATTAAAATACCCCACTGCAAGGGTATAACAAAGCTGAATGCTTACCTGGATACCAACATGAAATGTTGGATTTTGGACGAAGTTCAGGCAAAACATGGTTTATGGTGCGAAAACTTTGATTTGAATTGTGAATAAATTGTTAAATATGACTGGCTGCAGTTTTGACAGTTGATTGTAGGACAGATTTATTATTAAAAACCCAAAAGTTTCAGGTGAGCTTAAAATTTCTTTA